TGGAAAAGTGAATTGAAACCGCACCATGGGACGGGGGTCAACGGACCCAGCGACTGTCGATGCGCTCACTTTCCTGAAAAAAAAAAATCAAGAGAGGAGCTTGAAAGACCTGTAAAGAGAGGTTTTTATGCGTTAAGATTGATGTATTTAATTTCCTTTTTATCTATTCAAGCGGGAATGTCGGTTTGGGGAGAGAGAATACAGGAAGCAGTGCGCGAGCAACTGTCGATGTGGGCCAGCGCTGACAGCCGCAGGGGGTGCTGAGGATCTAGGGGTGAGGAGGGGCTTTATTTTTGGCGTTTCGCTTTTTTAATGAATTAAAAAAGAGTTTTTAGAATTTAGTTAGAAGTAATAGGCTCAAGGTGCACAGACATTGCAGGGAATGCGGCCTGATTTGCTGGCTGCTCCTGGTGCCGCTCCGTCTGGGCGGTCCGCCTGCTTTGATCGACCATCCTGAGGGAAGTTTTTCCTGTTCTCTTCAGGGTAAAAACGTTTAGTTTTTGAGGCTATTAACTTATTATTTCGGGTGTGTTTCCTCCTTTGTTACCCTCTTGCCGGGAAACCCAGCGCTGGCGCCAGGACAGGCTACACCAGCACAGGCAGCTGTTGGGGAGGAGGCGGAGGCTCGAGAGGTGATCACGGGCCGAATGGAATTGAATATTTTGTCTGTTTTTGTGCATAAATGACAAAAATGAGAATTTCTTTTCAAAAAAGTTGTTCTATAAGCAGGTAAATAGCCGCAGACAGACTCTGAGCTGCAGCTGTGCCCGCCGCGCTACAGTATTGAATGATAGCCTGGTGGTGTGTGCAAGTACAAGTATACAGCAATCACGCGTTTTGATTCTTTAAAATATTCTTCTGCTGCATCCAGGGTGTTTTCCCGCTGCAGCGGTGCTGCGTTTCGTCCCGTGTGCAGTGAAAGCCGGCTTCATGTTCTGGAGCGCGTTGCCTATTTCTCTTATTTTCTTCTTTTGAGCCGCCTCAGTACCTCTTCTCTCGGTTCCCTTCGTTCCTGTATGCGGAGCATCTGTGCATGCTCTGCTGTCTCTCGTCATTAACGAAGGCGTTCAAGGTGCTGACCCCAGCTGTACGTACACACCATCACGCTGACTGGCTACAGCTGGCATTGCTGCATTTTTTCTTGTGTTTCCGCATCGGTATATTTGTTGATTCCGCTAACAAGGAGGCCGCTCCCCAGGCCCCTGTTGTGTGTGCATGCATTGGTGCATGCATGCATACACATGCACACAGGCAGGCATACACGCAGAAGTTTGCCTGTGTTCTATCTTTATCTAGTATCTCTAGGATGCGCTCACGCATACAACCATGACGCGGAGTTGTATGGATGAGGGCCGCAGTTGCAAGGGGGCCCCCTTCAGTGTCACTGCCTTTGAGTGTATTGCTCGCGCTGTTGAGAGTAGGTGGTTTGCCGTTTCTTGTTCTGCATGGCCCCCAGCAGCAGCAGAGGCAGCATCAACAGCAGCAGGAGCAGGAGTAGAGGCAGCAGCAGCAGCAGCAGCAGCAGTAGCAGCAGCAGCAGAAACTGCAGCAGTAACAGCAGCAGGGCCTAACCAGGCGCCTCATATTGGCAGCAGCAACAACTCTTTCTGTGCTGTCCCCAGCAGTGCCGCAGCGCTGCTGCAGCTCCAGCAGCAAACGTTTCAAGGAGCAAAGCCCACGCATGCAGAGAACCGGGGTGCGGGCATGGGGCTGCAGCAGCAGCAGCAGCAGCAGCAGCAGCAGAATACAACGAAAGATGAAGAGGCGAGGAGGCCGAGCAG